AAAAAAAAAAAAAAAAAAAAAAAGCAAAAAACAAACAAACAAACACAAACAAAAAACAAACACAAAAGCGGTTGAAGAAGTGTCGTTATCTTTGTTTATTGAAAGCACCAATCACGAACTTACATCTAGGTACCGTAACTCGGTTATCAAGCTGTGTTTATTGAGCATTTACAATAGATGAATCGTCTCCGGGCTTGGCTGACAGGCTTAGTTATTTACTCGGCCGTAAGAGCTGTGTCTTCTATCAATGCGTCCTTTTGGTGGTGGCATCCAGGATCTTTTCCTGTTCTGTTTAAAATGAAGTAAACAGGAACGTTAGGACATGTTTTCTACCTTTCTTCTTCCCGAAGCCTGTCTACTCCATTTCGGAGCATAGCATACTGACAAAAACCCCTTCAATCTCCTCTGTCCCTGGTCAGGCGTTCCATCTGCATCAAGGAGTAAACCTTCAACTAGATAAGGCGTTTTCTACTTTTTGTCTAACTTAAATGCCTGCTTGTGTGTCAAGTTCACGAAATTTTGAAAACTCTATTCTAGACCAATTCTTGGCCCTTGGACCAACCGCCCTCCTCTGACTTCCACTTCACTTGTGTGTTCTTACGTTTGGGATACTCGGATACAATAGTGTTGTGTATGTGTCTGTCAGTATTTTGTGATCTCTGACTTATGTATATCTGTAATGTAAAGTAATTTCGCCAACAAAGTAAAGGAAAAAAGTAATCATAATAATAATAATAATAATAACAATAAAAAGAATGTACATAACGTTCAACCTTAAGAAAATGAAAAGGTTACGCAAAAATATGAGGAACTTCGGTGTCAAAATGAAAATCGATCAATCTGAAAACAAATTGAAAATTTGGTCACAATTCGTTTTACCGTAAACCGTTGGCAGTAAAACGACAATCCACAGATTCGTTTGAACTCTTTGCTCTGTTGGGCTCGTAACTCTCTGAGGTCTTCAACAGAAGATCCATCGTTACCCATGTTTAGAACTGGTGAAGCTTCAACGGCAGTCGAAAGCA